TGTTGGATTGATGACTTGGAGGCGTGTGTGTTGCTGCTCAGTGCATGAGTGGATGATGATGTTTGATGATTGGTGATGATCATGTTGATGTTTGATTGAATGTTGACGATAATGATGATGAGGAGAGAGGATTGATGGTAATGAATGATGATACTTGGTGATGACGATGATTGAAGGTGATATTATGATGAGGGAGATGATGATGATTGATGATGACGATGATGATGGTGATTGATGGTTATGATGATGAGGGTGATGATGAAAATGGAGATGATGATGATGATGTGGATGAAGATGATAATAACGTTGTTGACGATGATGGACGTTATAGTTTATGCTGATAATTGTGCATTATCATTTTTATAAAAGATAATTTGATTCCATTTTTATTACTACAGACTGTATTTACACACAGGCTTATATCAAAAGCCAAACAAACGAAATTTAAATATGAAAGGATTTGAACATTTTGATTTTAATTAAAACAGCAATTTGTTTCTGATAATGGATTTTCATCAAACATTTTACCTAGTGCTATAAAACACTATTTATTTCCTCACTATTAAAAATCTTTTTATAACAGCCATATGGACACGTGGGAGAGAAAAAAAAATCATATCAAGCTTAGGTAGACGAGTATTGAAGGTGACCACTGAGTAATTTTTATAATCTTTTCTGTCTGTCTTTCTCTATCTTTATCTCTATATATCTTTCTCTGTCTTTATCTCTATTTCTATCTCTATCTCTATCTCTTTCACTCTACATATCTAGCTAGCTATCCATCTATCTTTCTGTCCATCTATCGATCTGTCTATCTATTTATCTGTGTTATCTATCTATTTTATCTATCTATCATCTATCTTCTCTCTCTCTCTCTTCTCTCTCTCTCTCTCTCTCTCTCTCTCTCTCTCTCTCTCTCTCTCTCTCTCTCTCTCTCTCTACCCCTCTCTCTCTTCTTTCCCCTTTTACCTGTTCTGTAAATTTTCTTTCTCCCTGCCCTCCCTCTCTCCTTTCTTCCTCCCTCTCCCTCTCTTCCCTCTCCCTCCTCTTCCTCTCCCCCCCCCACCCTCTTCTCTCTCTTCTCTCCCCTTTTTACTTTGTTTTGTCCTGTTAATTCTCTCTCTCCTCTCTCCTTCTTCCTTTCTCCCCCATTCCCTCCTCTCCCTCCCTTCCTCCCTTTCCCTCTCTCTCTCCCCCTCCCGCCCTCTTACTCTCTCTCTCCCCCAGCCGCCCCCCTCTCTCTCCCTTCCCCATTCCTTTTTACGCCTGTCTTTCCTGTTAATTTCTCTCTCTCCTCTCCCTCTCCCTTCCCTCCCTCACCCTCTCTCCCTCCACCCTCTCTCTCTCTCTCTCCTCTCTCTCTCTCTCTCTCTCTCTCTCTCTCTCTCTCTCTCTCTCTCTCTCTCTCTCTCTCTCTCTCTCTCTCTCTCTCTCTCTCTCTCTCTCTCTCCATCTTTTTTTTACCTATCCTGTAATTCTCTCTCTCTCCTCTCCCCCAGATGTGGCTCGACTACAGCCTGCAGTGGAATGCCTCTGACTTCGGGAACATCCGCGTCATCCGCCTGCCTGCCGAGAAGCTGTGGAAACCGGACATCATCCTTTATAACAAGTGAGAGGCGGCGGCGACCCTCGAACCTTGCGCTCGAGGGCCTGTGGTGTTGAGTGAATTCTTCGTTAGTTAGTTGCACGCAGGGGTTGAATGGGTGTTCGTGTAGAGCTTGGTGACACGCGCAGACATACGGATTCACGCGAGGGCCAAGGGTGTTGGTAGAGTGGATAACCCCAATAGCGGAAAAAGGTGTGATGTATCTTGATCAAACTTATATTTATGTAATTCTGGCAAAGGCAAAGACATACATATACGGACATACACACGCAGACTCACACACAAACACACACGCATGTTTGCATGTACATACATATACATACATACATCAACAATTGCATGGTTGCATGGTAGTGTTTGGTCAACATCAATGTAATTGAAAAGCTCGGAAGACAAAATGATGAAGATGCTGACGATATGAACGCTTAGTAGAAAAATCAACTTCGATTCTGATTTGCATCTAACAACAAACCGTGTAAACAAGCCATCAGACAATTTAGAATGTTGATCTGCTTCCATTGCAAAAGCTGAATGTTGCAATCACAGCTGGATCCAATACTATTGCCTCACAAGAACCAGTAAACCTGTGTGTTTAGACTTTTTCACCGTAAAGAATGAAACTGTTTCTCCACAATTGAATTAGTGTCCACGAATATTCAATAGTATCTGCAGCATTACGCAAAAAAGAAGTATGCGAAACAACCAAAACGCAGCAAGGAAACCATCAAAAATAATAAAAGCTATCACCAAATGCCTTCCCACATTTAGAGATTGCAAAGAAAAGGCGATGAAGAACAGAAAAACAAATAACGGCTCATATCACCGCCAACGCCTGGAAAAGGTTTTAAAATTAATGTCTGCCACGATTTCCCTAAAAAAAATAATAATAATAGA